AAAAAAAAAAAAATTAAAAGCCTCCCTGGTGGCACAGGGGTTAAGCTTCAGCACTATCAAGAGAACCCCAACCAGGAGGGACCCACATGGCGTGGCAGACCTCTCCTGTCAGACCTGTCTCCCCACTGCTCCCCCAGTGTATTTCAGTAGAGCCCCTGATCTGCTCCCCACTCTGTTTCTAGTGAACCCTCTCACCCACCTCTGGCCTACATCTCAGCTCTTGTATACATAAATAATCTTTAAAAATTTAAGTGCAAAATCAAAGATTCAGTCATCTGTTAAAATACACTGACCCTCAAGTCACATTCAGATTCTCTTCAAGAACACAGTGCCCTGCAGAAAAAAAGTTCTACACAACGTGGAAGACTTCACATTAGTTCAGATTTTTATAGACCATTTAAGAAAACAAAGTGCAAAACTTCAAATTTGTGATCTCTACTCCCACCAAAGTAAGAAAATAACATGTATTTAAGTAAAACCTAACAATCCAAAGTTGATTTAAAAAGGAGCAGGGCCCTCCCTGGCGGCACTACAGGTCAAAGCACAGCCCTGCAGGCTCCTGCAGCCGCTCCAGTGCCAGTTCGATCCCGGCCGGAGTGACCCCAGGGCGCGGCGGACCTCTCCTGTCTCCCCGCTGCCTCCTCAGCAGTGGATTTGCTCCCCACTATCCGTGGTGAAGCCTCTCACCCCACCCCGCACCTCTGTCCTGCACCCCAGTTCTGTGTGCATAAATAAATCAATCTAAAAAAAAGCAGAGAGGAGAAGGCCAGCCCAGGGCTCCCGCATCACCAGGCCCCGGGCCCGCCCCACCGGCTTCCTCTCCGGCCCACTTGCAGTGCTTTGCGCACTTGATTCCACAGTTAACAAGATGAGTAACAGCAATATTAATAAACTACTGTGTGCTGGGCAGTGTGCTAGCTACTTTATATGTGATATTCCTTTCCTAGATAAGGAAATTCAGGGACAGAGACGCCACCTAACAGACCACACTCAATGGCAGTCATTCCGGCCCCTGGCCCTCCTGACCACCACAATGCCCTAAGCTGAGGACAGATCTGACAAAACTCCCTCCGCTCAAAGTGCCACACTCGGGGTGGGTGCCAAACCCAAATGCAAGTGCTGACCCCACCCCGGGGTCATGAAGGAGGGCGGGTCCACAGCGCGAGGGCCCCTTACAGCGCTCACGGGCAGCAGAGGCAGAGGAGACCTGTCCTCGGCTCAGGAGCAACCGAAACAGGTGGAAACCGGAGACGCTGTTCCTCGCTGTGTCCCTCAGCACGTAACCACAAGACAACTGCAAGTACCCACACCGAAAGGGGCTCCCCGAGCTCCAGCTGGGATGCCCTCGGGGAGGCAGACACTGGAACGGGGACCCAGTGGACACCACGGCCTGAGGAGTCGCCGGGGACCGAGAGCTGCAGCGGCCTAGGAGCCCATTCTCCAGCACGGCCAAGTTCTTCTCTAAGAATCGGTGACTTCTAAATTCTGTTCTAGCTCCAAAACCATGATTCTCTTCGGAGGACACGCCGAACAGCCCATCAAGCCCGTGCTTGCCAAAGTTCCTCCCACCGCGATCCCCATCTGGGGACTGAGTCCAGGTTTCACCAAGGTCCAGCCAAGGTCTACTAATGACCAGGCCACCAGGGAGCAGGCCTTAAAAGGCATCCTAACACAGCACCTCATGGGCCCCCCCAAGGCCCTGCACCCCCAGGCAAGCTCTCCTTCCCCCTCACCGGTGTCTGCGGGTGGGGTGCAGGGAGCTCAGGCGCCCACCGGCAGCCCGCACAGCGTTCCTCAAACTGGCTCCAACATTCGGCCATGCCCTGATTTCTGCAACTTTTCGATGCTACTCACCAATACTCCTAAAAACACTCCTTTGGGCAAACAGATTTCATGGCAGTGAATCTCTGGGGCACAAACCGTTTCAAGTCAGTGCGTATTCCCACTGTAAGAAACCCTGGAACTAATCACACCCTAGTTTTCTCCAGAGCCACAGAGAAACGCCAGATGAGGTTCCTTATACAGCAGAAGATGCTGATCAAACTCTGCTTGTATGAATTCAACACGCAGCTGTCACTGGTGCCCATCACCCAGCTCAACACTAAGCCACCGTGACAGGAGTAAACAGCCGCTACCCAGAGTAAACCAGATTTGACCAAGTCTGTGACCCGAAAACGTCACAAGCAAGAAGGCTTTCAGGTACTGCCAAGATCCCTTCGCTCGCTACCCCCCATCAGCCAGACCCAGTGGCAGTTCCGAGCCACTGGAGGGTAAAATGCACCGGGAGCTGATCTGACCCAGGACTATCTGCCCTCTCCCAGCAAAGAAAACTAAAGGGGAGAGAAGACAAGAATGGCAGCTCCTGATGCAACTCAACCTAAGAAGCCAAAGCCAAATCGCCCCAAGAACAAATCTCCCGATCAACCTAGATCCCGGTTCCTGCCAGACGCACCTGCACCGGGGAGGCTCAGGGGCTCGGCTCGGCCACCAGCTCCGAGGAGCAAGGAGCCGCCACCTGCAGGGCTGGACCGCAGCTGCTCCGCCCAGGTGGCAACGCAGCTTCACCAGCACAGGGACAAAGACCCGTGCTGCCCAGGAGGCTCGTCAACGGCCTTCGACTGCGTGGCAAGAGGGCGCCAGGAGCCGCCCGAGCCGCGCACATGGGCGCTTTCCTCTGCAGCCTCGGGGCCTCTCACCGGGAGCTCTCACTGACTCCTGAGGAACCACAGCAAGCGCCATCTGGTCCTGGGGGCCAAAGTGCAGCAGCTGCAGCCTCGTGTCCTTCACGACCCGACACAGCCGACACGGGGTCCTGACTCGCCGGTGAGTGAGATGAGAAGGCGGGGCAGGGCCGCTGGGCAGCATCGGGCGAGGTGAAATTTCAAGCCCAGAGAGAAGTGCCCACTGTCTCCCCCACGTGGGGCGCGACGCTCGGCACCGAGAAGCAACACCGTGCAGGGCACTCGCCCACTCGGCACGCCAGACAGCCCAGGCTCTCAGCGTGAGCCCCAAGAAGGCTCCTGCTCGCCTCCCTGGGCATCCCGGCAGCAGGGCACTCACCTGCCGGGCTGGCCACAGTGTGGAAGGCTCAGCTCGGAAGACACCTCATTCCTGCCCCCAAGGGGCAGAACAAGCAAACAGGTCCAGGGTTAACGGAAACTGGCATCTAAACACAGAACTGACAACTGGCTGCCGGATGAGGTTTTGCCTAAACATCACCGTGCACAGATGGGCTTGGCTGGAGCAAACACCACGGTTGGCGGGCAGCTGGGCGGGCCACCGACTTTCAGCACCACGTGGCACTTGCACGAGGCAGAGAGGAAAGAGCTAAACTGTTTTAGCAAATGAACTCTTGCAGAGTCTTCCACAGCGCCGTCTTTCACGCCCGCACCAGCTCTCGCCAGGCCTGCGGCCCGTCCAGGTCACAGGTCCCCAGGAGGGTGCCTTGACCGGTCAGCAGTCCCTGCAGCCGGCCTGTGGTCCAAATCCACGGATCCAAACCCAGCTGCACCTCAGCACTGTCTGGGGCTTCCTGAAGGTATTCCTCAACCCCACCACAAACTGCCAGTGAGGTCGGACACCCCACGGTCTCAAGTGTCCCCAATGACGCTGACGCAGGGCGGCCTGGCCATGGGCCAGAGTAGGCCTTCGCGGCCTCGGCCCTGCTGCGACAGGGGCTGCATGACTGTCTTGTCTGGCTGGCTGTCTGGGGGCGGGGGAGCCCTGCTCTGGCCCACACGTCACAGAGCATTAACAGCACTCCCATCTCTACCCCTCAGAAGCCACGTACCCAGAGCCATGCCAGGCAAAAACTCCAGGCACTGTTCACTGTTTCTGGGGGAACAAAATGTCCCCTCACCCCGCTGAAAGCCAGGGCCCTGAGCAAATTGAAAACCAACCATGTCGGGTCCCCTGCAGAAAGGAAAAGAAACGTGCTTAAAGCCCAGGTGGACGCTGTCCGTGCTCCCTGGCGCCGGCAGCCCAGGCCGTGACTGACAGCAGGACCGAGCCACAGCCTCTGTGCTTCTAGGAAATAAACGTAAGGGTCCCACCGAGCAGGGGGCCGGCAGGGCTTCGCCACCACATCGCTGATTCACCTTACGGGCTTTAAGAAGCCCGGATGTTTGGGCCCCCAGACGGCCTCCCAGACAGCCCAACACATGGAGGCACAAGCCGCAGCCACCCCGGGACACGGCGACAGCCGCGCCGGGGAGCCTGAGCCGGCAGAGGGCTGTCTGCGGGGCGCGGCGGCGGCGCCCTAACGACCCGGCCAGGTCCTCGCTGTCTACCAGGATCTACTTCTGCTGTCACTACTCACTTTCTAGCCAGCTGTGGCTGTCGCAGTCTCCAACAGGTCACTGAAACTAGCAAATGTTGGCTTGTCCTGCTATGCTTGACACAGAGCTCAAGTTCCCTGAGCCAGAACCACCTTCTTCCTGTTCCTGAGGACGCGACACCAGCCAGACGCTGTTCCCACCTGACGCCGAGCCCACCCACACTTGCCCAGGCGTGAGGGCCAGGCAGGCCCGGAGAAGTGAGCGCACAGGAGGGCGGGCGCCGGGCAGCGGCGGCCGCGGGCAGTCCGAGGCGCCGCAGAGGGCAGCAGGTGTTTTCCAGACGCAGGCGAGGCGCCTCTCCAGCGTGACCTTTCACCCTCAGAAGAGCCGGGCACCTGAGGAAGCGAAGCGCCCTGGGGCTGGAGGACCCCAGCACAGGGGCGGCGGCCTCGTCCAGGGCTCCTCTGCGTCAGCCCTCTGTGCAGTGGGGCCACCACTAACTAGCCCCAAACACTTGGAGTCCAACGAGAAAAAGTGAACTTTACTGCCGGCCTCTTCCCAGCCCCACGCCCGGAACGCGCACAGGCGGGCTGAGACCGCCGTGGGAGGAGGCCTCGCACTACCCGCCCCTCTGGCAGTGCCCAGCGGCTAAACCCGGCTGAGGGGGAGCCCCAGAGCCTCGATGGGTAGGAGGCACCTCGCGGCCAGCAGACTGGGCTTTACCTGCAGTAGCGCGGGCTCCCCACGGACTCCCAGGTGGACGCTACACGGATGCCCGCATCAGCGGCGGCAGAGGGGCCAGGGTGCGAAGCCCAGCTTGGAATCCACGTCGAACTCCGGGGTGCAGAAAGCTCGGCCACCACCTAGGAGACAGACAGCGGGTGGCCTCTGGGGCCCCTTCCCACTAGCCCCCCACCTGCCGCTTGACCTTGAGGACACCCCCGAAGTGAGCGTCCCCTCCCCGAGGCGGGGAGCCTCCACATCAACAAGTGCGCGACGCCCAAAGGAGACGCCCACCAAGTGCCCTCCCCAGAGGGCAAAACAGAAGCGGGGTCCGCAGCGGGAGCCAGTCGGGGCG